CAAGTTCCATATTTCTGCTGCCGCTCCTGGTAAAAAGTGTCCTTAAATGAGACGCATTCCGGGCGGGATCCTTCGGTCATATTGCTTCGGACCTGAAGGGAGAAAAGGGAGGTAGTGCCGGTGCCGGTAACGTGCCTTTTCTTCCTCTCGCTGTGGCGAAAATCTCTTCTCGGTGTGCAGGAAGAGGCGAAGGAGCGCCCGGAGGAGAGAAGAAGCGGAGAAGCATCCTATACGGCAGCCGGCAGCAGCAGCATCGCTTACCGGCGCATCAGCTGCTGCCTCACATTCAACTCATATTTCCATTCGCCTATGAAGAGAACACACTCGCGCTAGCACACGCACAAACACAAGCAGACACACACACACTATCTCTCTCTCTCTCGCACTCTCTCTCTCCAACACATACCAGCCCACACACACACACACACACACACACACACACACACACACACACACACACACACACACACGCAAGCACACACTATAGGGCTGATATGCAATCGTGCGCACTCTTTGACATATCTCTCCATCTTCTATCACGCACTCTTTGGGACGCGCACAGCAGCAGATAGACCACAATACAATATAGTGTAGAAAGGCGATGCTGTCGTCAGGGGTTTTTTTTCCTTATATTCCATATCTGTCCTCAGAGCATCAGCTCCTCATCAGTAATAAAGGAGGACAGTCCTAATACCTCTGGAAGAGAGCGTGTCTGTCTGTGAGGAAAGGGCACACATAAAAGGGGGGTTTCCCGGGGGATTACTTATTTATTTAATTAATGTTTCTCCATTTTATTCAATCAGTGCCTCCGCATGTAACTGTGATCGGCTGAAAAGAAGGTTCCTTATTATCCTGATGTAGCATTTGATATTATTAAACATTTTGTCAGGACAATGGAAGTCTATGTGCAACCACTTGAACATGGAGCGATTATGAACCTCTCTGGCTTCTTCTGTGTGACCACGACTTGAGCAGGAAGATGACCTGTGTGTCCGTGTTTGAGATCTTCAATATATTACTCCTGGGAGACAAAGTATAAGTGACTAAATAAGTAGCCATTGAGCAGTTAATACAATAATGCAGCCTTATCTTAGGCACGATGTAAGACAACTGCATGTATTGTACAGAACAATATCATTGTGATGCTCAGTTGCTACCAACACATTATAATCAGTAACTGCAGGTAAGTCACATCCCTAAATTAAAAATGAGCTCCTGACAGAACAAAATGTCAAAGGTTCTGTAAAGACACTAAAAACCTTGACATGACTATGCTGATGCAACATTAACTGGATCTCTACCATATGGGTCTTATTTTTGTAGATTTCATTGTGTTACTCAGCAAATGAAAAGATGTTTTAACAACAGATGTTTTAACTTGTCCTATTTGAACGGGCATGTTAACATTATCATGTCCCAGTAAGTCATGACAGTGTGATGGTGGTGAGCCAGCATGTGCAACACCAGCACCCTGAAGCTGAAGCAGTTAAGTGGAATTCAACCGTCATTCATTTTATTATTTACACCTGTGCTTTTCCTCCTGTCACATGTCACAATGTCTTTCTTGAGAAAGAGCTATGGCTGAGATCTGGGGATGTAACAAGCTGCTGAAACCAGCTTTACAACTTAGTGGACAAGTCCAACTCAAATAAGATCACATGCTAATCACGTTATAAACTACTTATTTAAAAGCAAAAACAAAACTGAGCATCAGTGTTATTACCTGCTGTAAGCATCACATAAATCTTGAAGATTTCATTTATAGTTCAGCCAAGACCTGCACCACTTTCTGTGGTCATACACACATGTAGTTTTACAATGCCAAGGACAATTATAATGGACGTTTCAGGTATGCTCCTCTTGAGTCTCACTTCCAAATAAGTGGTTCAGACAATCTGAGGTGAACTGAGGATCTTTGCCCCTTATTGGACTCCGTCCAAAGTTTTGGGTGTTGCAGCATCATCTGATCACAACAATTTGCAAGTAAAACATTACCTTATATCATAGGACTGATGACCAAAACTATGAAAACTAGTAAAAATCTTACTCAGTATCAATGTGAAGTACTACTTTAAGGCTGAGGGGAGCACTGTATTATTGGCTGACGACATGTGTGCATACATTAGGGCCTGTTTGGGTACATAAGGCTGAACCGAGGCAGACTAAGTACTCTATACTGGACTGGGCTGGATGTTAAAGAGCCAGTCCAGGCTGAGTGTGTTCTGCTTCCTCTTCTAACATTTTGGCAGGCTTAACGTTTCTCTTGCCTGGTTGAATGTGTTCAAAAAAATGCAGATTCTGAAGAAATTCCACCAGTGAGTATGTTCCAATCCCAGTGTAATCGTTGTTTCATCAGCCTCACCCAACACTGCAGCTGTCCCAGCGTATCTGTGTGTTCATTCAAATGACACCTCCGAGACCAAGATAAATTAGAAGCCTTCCCAAGTTATTTCTCCTTATAAATAGACTGTCAGCTTTTTCCCCTCCTTTCTTCAGCAGAACACATCCTGGAGTTAATTTAAACATTCTTTAAGATTAATGAAAGTGGGTTTTGGTGCTTATGCAGTGGGAGTTCTATTTATGGACTCTCTGCGATCCATCATCAGCATTATCCTGTGAATTTTCAGACAGCCAGTTTCCTGTCGTGTCACTGCAAATGTGGGCAATGCCAAAGCAAGAATCCCTCCCTGGTACCTGGTATCCCTCTACCTCTCTAGCCATGCAATCAATTAATATACAGTGGCGAGAGCTTGGGCTAGAATAGACAGTGACTGACTGACTGAATGCTTGGGGCGGTCTGATCTATGGTCTGATCCATAGTTAGTCTGATCATCCATTAAAAGCATCTTAAAAAAGCAAGCCATTTGAGAAGATGGTTAATGTACTGCAGTTGCACAGAGACACAAAACACCATTATCCTGCATGATTCTTAAAGGTTTACAGTACTGTATCTTTTATTACACCATGTAGTTACAGATAATGCTTTGCTCTTTGCTGCGCTATTGTAGGTTTGAACTGAAAATATAGAAACATAATGGATGACAGATTCAACAAGCATAGCAGAGGGACAAAATTTTACCTAGACGGGGGAGAAAATATGCCTATTTTGGAGAGATAACATGCTTCTGAGTGTGTATGGGTCACTGTTGCACAATAGCTTCACTACACAGTAAAAGCATTAAAAGTATGTACACTTACATCCAACACTCGGAGCTGGTTAATGGGCAGGTATGCTGGATATATACACATATAGCAAAATATCAGGCAATTAAATCAAACATTTTCCAGAGGAGCTCTTCAACGCCTGCAGCTTCTGAGTGTATAAGAAGTAAATACAAGGTTCAATGGCAGAGAGAGGACACACAGAACTAATGAGTTGCGTCCCCAAACACGCTGTGGACACAGGACTGTGGACACAGGCTTGTGTCTCTGCGCTAGACAATGGGGTATGTGACCCACCAAGTATACCTACAGTATATAAGGCCAGTATCGAATAGGAACAGAGGTTGGCTGAATTGGGATGGAGTCAAATTCACCTCCTTCTCCTCCTGCACATGCCACATAAATGTGAGTGCACCTATACAGAATGTATATATTGTATCCATTACTTAGGGCTAATTCAGTGCCACCCTCCCTTTGGATTCTGGGTGTTTTCACCACTGAATGGTACAACATATGTAGCCCACATTTCCTCACTTCCCATTGGGAAGTCTGGTCTCGTAGGCTTGGAGGACCAGCAGAGAGACAAGGACATCTGTCAGTCTGTAAGCTATGCTTGCTGCGACTGCCCAAGGGTTATGGAAAACAAAACCTGATCTCACAGCCTTACTGTAGCGCAGGAGAGAAATAGGGGCGTGTTCCCTTCCAGAGTTTCAACGCTGCCATGATGACCTTACCCATTTCTCTTTCTTCTTTTTATCACAGGTATGTTGTCCAAAGCAGAAGAATTTTGGACATCCTAGGTAAAGTCCTAATTGGCCCATATATGTCCACATATAAGTTTGGACAAATGTCGAATTTCCTTACACATGAGAAGGAGCAAACAAGGACATGAGTGAAGGATGTATTTTCTGAGATGGCTCTCTCCCTAGCTTTCTGCTGGGAAGATAAATTCCAGTGTGTGTAGATTCTGACTATAATATTCTCTTCATCCCTAGAAGAAGAAAGAGGAAAGAGCCCCCATGTGGACATCAAAGTAACTACCTTACTTGACACCAGTATCAAGAAATAAGCAACCAGATATAGGATTCACAAGCACAGCATGTCCGTGTTGTCAGCATCGGAGAGTGTTCCACTCAGAGGGGGCATTTAGTCCATATGACAATTAGAACACAATGTCCTGAATCATAATAAGGCCTGCTCTTGGTTTTCTACCCTGGACACATCTTAATTTTCAAGCCTTGCACTGTCTTCACCGGCTTACAAATATTCCTACTGACAAAAGAGTTAGTCAAGTTTGAAAAAAATTGAGTTTCTCTCAAAGGAAGAGAGAGTATAAATTCTTGCAAGCACTCTTCACCTGCCAGCACCCCATCACAGCTGAGCCTGGCATGCAGCCATTTGTGTTCATATGTGCTCGTGTGCTTTATGTGTGTGAAGAAGAGAGGCAGTGAGTGGGTGGATGACTGTTGTAGAATTGCTGAGTTAGTGCCAGATACAGTATCTATGTCTCTGTCTACTTTATAGGCCTCATGGGCTCCATGTACAAGCAGTTTTATATGGGGCCTTGACTGGTTTGCTAGGAGACACTGCTTTTATGCTAGGCTTGAGTCACTGTTCTGCACTACCAATACAACGGTCACATAGATCAGTGCTAGTGCTAAAAGGCTCTTATGCAGTTATGTCCATGCACCGACATTAAGTGGCATCATCAGAAGTTCTTTTTCTTCTCTGATAAATTATTCCGCGATCACACAATCTACACGTCTTTTACACAATGATAAAAACAACCCATATGGCACATGTAGTGGGTATATTCTTTTTTCACACATAGGACTGACCTGTCTATGGGTGCGTCACCTGGTCCCAAGTACCTCAGCCCCGAACCGTTGTCAAGGGACCCCTGTCTGGGCAGGAGCCCACCGTGAGGTCTGCTTCTGTCTGACGCTGGTGTCAAGTCCCCTGAGGCTCCCTGGTAGGGGTACAGGGACGGGTCCTGCAGTTTGGCCTTCTTCCCCTGTGGCCCGCCCTCAAACACACCCCGCACCTGACCGGGCCCCGAGCTGTAGAACCACGCCCCCGATTTGGTGAGGATTTCTTGTTGTTTTCGGCACAAGTTGCATACCCACATAACCTGAGAGAAGAGAGAAGGAGATGTTAATGGTTTGGATTGGTGATTGATAGGCAGAGATTGTCTTATATAACCTATGATGAGCTGTAATGGAGTGATTTGTGTGTTTGTGTTATGTAAAGCTGTAACATAACTGTGAGGCAGATCAGTGTTGCTGAGTAAAAATCTTTTTACATCCAAAATGTGAATCTTCAGGTAGTTTTCAACCATCTTTTGAATTGGAAAAAATAATCAGCAAACTTGAGTATTGAGTTTTCACCCCACAGTTATACTGTTCATAAACAGTACTGACAATTCATGTTGATGAGGTGAATGATGACATATTTTACACATACAGCAGCCTTTGAAATCACTGAAGGTATCAGTTTATCATTATTATTATTATTATTATTATTATATATTTTGCATCTGTGAGTCCAGAGTACAGATCAAACATCTTACACAAGACAAGAGATCATTTTTCTTAGTTGTTATGATGCAGTACATTAACTATTAAATTCTTGTTTCTGGTTAGCAAACTGCGACAATGCAGAGCCCACATGACCACTGATTGCAGAGATTAGTCATATCACCTAACGATGGCACAGGAAGTAGAGGTCGTGCGATTGCGGTTAAAGCACTTTGGTAAGATAAAAGGAAAAGCAAAGCGACCCTTTCCCTTCTGTTCTGCTCTACGAGGACTGGAGAGATGGAGGTCTTTACTGCTCTGTGATGTCGTGCCTATATCTGCTCTACACTGCAGCTCCAGCAGCCAGCTCACCACATTGGTCCCATAAATCCATGGGCAGGAGCCCTCATCATTGTACACACATGTATGCACACGCACACGCACACGCGCACACACACACACACACACACACACACACACACACACACACACACACACACACACACACACACACACACACACACACACACACACACACTACATGGTAAAGCTCATCTTGTGGAGAAAACTCACACAATATGACATGTCTGCTCCAGGTGACCTCACCTGCCTCGTTAACAGAGAGCAACTTAAAGTGATAGCTAAGTGTTTCTGAGAGGACTAAGAGCTTGCCAAATGATTGACAGGCCAGACAGCCAGTAGGGCGGCCAAGAGCTACTGCAACCCCCACCCCCCCACCACAGTCCCAGTGCTGAGTCAGTGCATTACTGTTATTAGTGTGAGCAGGCCCTGAATGCTGCCTCACCCACCCTCAGTCGGTCTGTGGCTCGCCATTTTTTTCAGTAAGCCTTGAATCAAATAAAAATTGACTGATATGTTATTTCTAGATTAACTGAACTCGCTTAAACTGTGCCGGTCTGTACAGTTACTGGCTGCAGTGGTTCAAAGGCTGAATTTGAAGCCATGGCATGAACCACAACTGCTTATCTGAGTGGCTGGCAGAACCTGAAGCACAGGGAGATAAAGAGCAGTAACTGTGTGGAAGAACCCACCAAATGATCAAAAGGGGGTCGACAACCTGTAGCACAACATGTTAAGGCAATGGCACACAGACAAAAAAGCAGTTGTCCAATTACACAATCAAGTAGACAGTCGGTGGCATGGCTGGCTCAGTCATCAAACATGTCTGTTCATGGGTGGGGAGTCAGTGAAAGACAAAGTCCTCGTCACTGAACTAGTAACTTACTAACTGGTTGGTCAAGGCAGAAGAAGAGCACTTCTACAAAATCTGAGAGGATTTCATGAACCTCCATTCTCTCACTGGCACAACCTGGCATTTGGAATCAGGAGCAAATACATGTGCAAACATTCACAGATGAAGCAAACACACAAACCACAATCCAAAGCTTTCAACCATCATTTATTTTCAGAGGAATATTGAAACAAATAAAGCCATGTTCTGTCAGCACAGTTGTCATGCTTTTAACTGCAGCAACACAACATAAAAGAGCCTCAGCTTTCACAACAATGGTTGACACTGATTTAGCAGCAGTAGGTAGACACTGCACTGGACAGTCCAAAGGTTGCCATCTACCTTCTGTTCTCTCTGCGATTCGTACTGTAGAAATGTCCAGATATAGCGAAAACGAGCAGGATAGGGAGTTCTACTCTTATGTTTAGAGTTCAGAAACAGCAACAATCACCTGGGCACTGGAAGAGACAGCTTTTCATCTTAAAGCTGCTTGAGCAGTAATGAATTTTCAAATATTTCAAACGTAGTGCAAAAAAGCTGAACAGTCACACCGCGGGCAGCATGTACTGGACTATGTGATATTGACACACAAGACATTTATGACCAACTATCAATGTTACAGATGGGCTATAAGTGTGCTGACACACAATGGAAGCAGGGAGGCTACAAATTGTGCTTTATGTGTCCCAGAGGATTGGAGCCAGTGAGGCCATGACTGCCTCTTTAACTGGGGTCATGGCGAGAGCTCTGCAGTGAACCATGAGTCATCGGCTAAGACCCAGTAGCCACCAAGGCCAGTTTTCCTGCTAATCAACCAAACATCACTTCCTGCACCTGGAAATTACACACAAATACACACTTACACATGTGTGAACACGCACGCAAATTCTGATTTTGTTTATATTACAAATTAAAATGAAAATAAGTATCTCAAATGTAATTATCACATGGAGAGGGCAATTAGAAATATCTTAATTCTGTTGGCTTTATGCTGCAGAGGCCAAGGAGGCTGCAGGTGCCCCACCTCAAACAGGGGAAAAACTACCTAACATCCTACAGAGTACCAATATGGACCAATGTAAAAGTGGCTTAGTTTTACACCTTGTACCAATTACAAAAAAAAATGTAGCCACCAATTCCTGGCAAAGATTTCAAATTAAGCAATGCAGCAAAGAGCAGAGATTTGCTAAAACAAACAAAAATAAACAAAGGTAACTGGCCCTATGTACCTGAACTGGACGTCATACAGTAAAAATAATGAGAGCTCTGAATCTGAATTCATCAACAGCATGTGAAAAAGATTCCTACGTGAGTGTTTAGGTTTTTATTTGTCCGGCAAAAGATTTCTCCATGTGACTAAAGGGTGATTCCTAACCTTAACCTTGTTATTTCTATAATCTCATCAATTTAGGTGAACTTAGCACGCCTATTTCATTTTCACATGGAGGAGAATTGTTATCTTAGCACATTATGTACCCTAATAACATAATGTAACATGCATTTCAGAGTTTGAGCTCTGTAAACATAATCATAGTCATAAAACAGATTATGTTTCACCTGTGGTTATTTACTGAAATCTTCCCTTCCCTCTCAAACACCCCATTTTCTTCACGGAAGACTGCAGCCTATGACCTAGATATTTACCCCACCAAACTGCTATTAACATAGAGTCAGTTGCTGTGCACCACTCGGGTCTGCCAATAATAATTAACCACGTTCTCAGCCCTCAGCTTTTATCTCATCTGTGAATATCTAATAGCATATTACTATTCCAAAAAAAACAGGCCAACAAAAACGTGCATGGGTCCAGTAAATGTTAAGCACACAGAGCCTCAGTCATCAATACTTGGATTTGATTTGCACTTTGGAACAGAGTCAGAATGAGAATTGATGTTTCTATAGTATATCAGGCAGGAAGAGCAAAAGTAAGGAAATGTCAGTGCCAAGCTGAATGCTCATATGTCCAAAACATTACATGAACTGCAAAATAACAACAGCCTTGTTTTGAGCTTGATGACAGTGCACTTTAGAGATTATCCTGAGGGTTTTTTAAGGGCTGCATGAGCCCAAGAGGTTAAAGAGTTTTATCAGCTAATAGAGAGGTATGTGGAATATGACCTATCTATAAGGATTTTCTTAGTTGGAAAAGAGCAGTTCAAGCTAAGCATGCAAAACGGACTCAAACAACATCTAGCTTGAAATGTGATTTAGCATTAAGATTCTACTCTAAAAGACTATATTCTCCAGTGCCTCAGATCATAGAAATAACCTAAATGCTTTATCTCAGTACAGACATGTGACAGTAACAGAAACATGTTTCATTCATTACACTCTTTTTCTGTCTTTTGTCACATTGGCAGAGACATCACCCAGCATGAGGCTGCTAACCTTCTAGTGCAAAGACAGCGTGAGCTCAACCCACACTAACAGGAAACTCTAATACCCCTCATTCCCTAATAGACCACATTGAGTCCACAGCAGATGCATGTATGCACAATGATACACACACGGATCAAGCAGCTGTAAAAGCCAGAGGTATGTTCACTTTTACTGCAGCCACATACACACACACACACACACACACACACACACACACACACACACACACACAACAACCTCGGCTTAACTCTTCACAGCTGAGCGCAGGAAGTGGGCTACGGGCTGCGGCCCTCGGGCAGGGCCATTTCTCCTTGTGCTTGCACATATCACAGTCATTGAACCTGCAGCTAAAAATAGAAAGCTAAAAACTCTATCATGCGTTGCAAACACCTGGAAGATATATACTCTATTAAATGTGCTATAGGCTGTTTACAGAGGCACTGAATTAAGGGAAACAAACACCCAGTGCCATGGGATCAATAAATAATTTCCTTTCTAATACTTTCTCTTCAGATCAAGGGTGTTTTCATTGCTACCAGCAAATATGATCTTCCAAAAAATGTGTGTGTGCTTAGGAGGGTGAGAACAACAAAAAATACACCGGCCAAGGATGACAGACCATCTTTGGCAGGAAACATTTATGATGTGGGCTATATAGTCTACCACATGGTTTTAAAAAAAATACCTTTTTTGTGGTGAATAGCCCTGGCCTGTATCGTACATACAGTATACTACACATAACTACATAGAAAATAATATGTATCCTTCAGCAATGTACTTTACATGTTCCCTATTTGTCTGCTCCATTCAAAATTTTCCTGGAGGAGTCATACACACATACACAAACCAGCTGGGTTTGCAGTAAGAGAGAGCACTGAGCTCTCTCTTGTGGCCATTAAACTGCACTACAGCGTTACTTAACAGAGGCTCCAGAGTGAATCAGCAGTATCCTTCCAGGCATATCACAGTGTGCTCAAATGGAAA